TGAGGAGCTGTTGTTGAGCAAGTTCTCTGATCAAGAGGCTGTCTTCGAGGAGCTGTTGTTGAGCAAGGTTGATCAAGAGATTGTTTCTTGAGGGGAGCTGTTGTTGAGCAAGGTCTCTGATCAATAGGTTGGTCGGTGGAGGAGCTGTTGTTGAGTGCGTCTCTTGGATCAAGAGATTGTTTGTTTTGAGGAGCTGTTGTTGATCAAGGTCTCTGATCAAAAAGATTGTTGGTTTGAGGAGCTGTTGTTGAGCAAGATCTCTGATCAAGATATTATTTGGTTCGAGGAGCTGTTGTTGGAGCAAGTCTCTGATCAAGAGATTGTTGGTTTCGAGGGAGCTGTTGTTGAGCAAGGTCTCTGATCAGAATTTCCTGAGGATGATCAAGGTCTCTGATCATTAGGTTGTTTTCGAGGAGCTGTTGTTGAGCAAGGTCTCTGATCAAGAGATTGTCGGTTTCGAGGAGCTGTTGTTGATCAAGATCTCTGATCAGGTTGTTGGTTTCTGAGGGAGTTGTTGTTGGAGCAAGGCCCTGATCAAGAGATTGGTTTCTTGAGGAGCTGTTGTTGAGTAAAGGTCTCTGATCAAGATTGTCGGTTTCGAGGAGCTGTTAAGGAGCAAGGTCTCTGGATCAAGAGATTGTCGGTTTCGAGGAGCTGTTGTTGATCAAGCGTCTCTTGATCAAAGGTTGTTGGTTTCTGAGGGAGCTGTTGTTGGAGCAAGATCTCGATCAAGAAGTCGTGTCTTGGGAGCTGTTGTTGAGCAAGCCCTGATCACGGGGTTGTTGGCTCTGGAGGAGCGTTGTTGAGCAAGGTCTTCTGATCAAGAGATTGTGTTGGTTCTCCCTGAGGAGCTGCTGTTGATCAAGGTTGTTGATCAATAGGCTTCTCTGATCAAGAAGGTTGGCTCTGGAGGAGTTGTTGTTGAGCAAGGCCCTGATCAAGATTGTCGGTTTTGAGAGCTGTTGTTGATCAAGGTCCCTGATCAAAGATTGCTGGCTCTGAGGGAGCCGTTGTTGAGCAAGGTCCTGACTGCGAGATTGTCGGTTTGGAGGAGCTGTTGTTGAGCAAGGCTCCCCAAGAGATTGTTGCTTGAGGAGCTGTTGTTGAGCAAGGTCTGATCAAGAGATTGTCGGTTTCGAGGAGCTGTTGCTGATCAAGGTCTTGATCAATAGGTTGTTGGTTTCGAGGGAGCTGTTGTTATAAAGGTCTCTGATCAAGAGATTGTCGGTTTGGAGGAGCTGTTGTTGAGCAAGGTCTTGATCAAGAGATTGTCGGTTTCTTGAGGAGCTGTTGTTGAGCAAGATCTCGATCAAGAGATTGTTGGTTTGAGAGTTGTTATTGAGCAAGATCTCTGATCAATAGGTTGTTGGTTTCGAGGAGCTGTTGTTGAGGAAGGTCTCTGATCAAGAGATTGTTTGTTTGAGGAGTTGTTACAAGGTTGAGCAAGGTCTCTGATCAAGAGATTGTCGGTTTCTGGAGGAGCTGTTGTTGAGCAAGGTCTCTGATCAAGAGATTGTCGGTTTCTGGAGGAGCTGTTGAGCAAGACGTCTGATCAAGATTGTCGGTTTGAGGAGCTTTTGTTGTTGAGCAAGGTCTCTGATCAAGAGATGTCGGTTTCGAGGAGCCTGTTGTTGATCAAGTTCTCTGATCAATAGGTTGTTGGTTTGAGGAGCTGCTGTTGAGCAAGGTTGATCAAGATTGTCTCTGAGCAACGATCAAGAGATTGTTGGTTTCTGAGGGATTGTTGTTGGATTGGCTAGTCTCTGATCAATAGGTTGTTGGTTTCGAGGAGCTGTTGTTGAGCAAGGTTCTGATCAAGAGATTGTCGGTTCTGGAGGAGTTTTCGTTGTTGAGCAAGGTCCTGATCAGAGGATTGTTGGCTCTGAGGGAGCTGTTGTTGGAGCAAGGTCTCTGATCAAGAGATTGTCGGCTCTCTGAGGAGCTGTTGTTGAGCAAGGCTTCCCGATCAATAGGTTGTTGGGTTCTTGAGGAGCTGTTGTTGAGCGTAAGGTCTCTGATCAAGAGATTGTCGGTTCGAGGAGCTGCTGTTGAGCAAGGTCCTGATCAAGAGGTTGTCGGTTTCTTGAGAGCTGCTGTTGAGCAAGGTCTCTGATCAAGAGGATTGTCGGTTTCGAGGAGCTGTTGTTGAGCAAGGTCTCTGATCAATAGGTTGTTGGTTTCGAGGAGCTGTTGTTGAGCAAGGTCCTGATCAAGAGATTGTCGGTTTGGAGGAGCTGTTGTTGAGCAAGGTCTCTGATCAAGAGATTGTTGGTTTCGAGGAGCTGTTGTTGAGCAAGGTCCCTGATCAAAAAGAGATTGTCGGTTTCTGAGGAGCTGTTGGAGAGCAAAGTCTCTTGATCAAGAGATTGTGCTTGGAGGGAGCTGTTGTTGAGCAAGGTCCTGATTAAGAGATTGTTTGTTTTGAGGAGCTGTTGTTGACAAGGGGTCCTAATCAAGAGATTGTTGGTTTTCGAGGAGCTGTTGGGATAAGGTTCTGATCAAGAGATTGTCGGTTTGAGAGCAAAGTTGTTGAGCTTTTGATCAAGAGATTGTCGGTTCTGAGAGCTTCAAGGTCTCTGATCATTAGGAGCTGTTGTTGGAGCAAGGTCTTGATCAAGAGATTGTTTGTTTGAGAGCTGTTGTTGAGCAAGGTCCTGATCAAGAGATTGTTGGTTTGAGGAGCTGTTGTTGAGAGCAAGGTCTCTGATCAAGAGATTGTCGGTTCTTTTGGCTGTTGTTGATCAAGGCCCTGATCAATAGGTTGTTGGTTCTTGAGGAGTTGTTGTTCTCTGATCAAGAGATTAATGGTACCTGAGGAGCTGTTGAGCAAGGTTCTGATCAAGATTGTCGGTTCTGAGGAGCTGTTGGAGCAAGGTCCCTGATCAAGAGATTGCTGGTTTCGAGGATGTTGTTGAGCAAGTTCTCTTGATCAAGAGATTGTTTTTTCCTGGAGGAGCTACATGGAGCAAGGTCTCTGATTGGCAGATTGTCTATTTCCGGGGAGCTGTTGTTGAGCAAGGTCTCTGATCAAGAGATTTGTCGTGGTTCTTGAGGAGCTGTTGTTGGAGCAAGGTCTCTGATCAAGAGATTGTTGGTTTTGAGGAGGTGTCTTGAGGATTCGTCGGTTGTTGAGCAAGGTCTTGATCAAGAGATTGTTCGGTTTGGAGGAGCTGTTGTTGAGCAAAGGTCTCTGATCAAGAGATTGTCGGTTCTGAGGAGCTGTTATTGAGCAAGGCCCTGATCAAGAGATTGTTGGTTTGAGGAGTTGTTAGGAGGAAGATCTCCCTGATCAAGAGATTGCTTGCTCTGAGGAGCGTTGTTGATCAAGGTCTTGATCAATAGGTTGTTGGTTTCTGAGGAGCTGTTGTTGAGGAAGGCCCTGATCAAGAGATTGTCGGTTTCTGAGGAGCTGTTGTTGAGCAAGGTCTCTGATCAAGAGATTGCATTTGGAGGAGCTGTTGTTGAGCAAGGTCTCTGATCAAGAGATTGTCGGTTTGAGGAGCTTGTTGTTGAGCAAGGTCTCCTGATCAAGAGAGATTGTCGGTTTCGAGGAGCTGTTGTTGAGCAAGGTCTCTGATCAAGAGATTGTCGGTTTGAGGAGCTGTTGTTGATCAAGGTCTCTGACTAATAGGTTGTTGGTTTCGAGGAGCTGTTGTTGAGCAAGGTCTCTGATCAAGAGATTGTCGGTTTCTGGAGGGAGCTGTTGTTGAGCAAGGTCTCTGATCAAGAGGGGTTGTTGGTTTTAAGAGATTGTCTGTCGAGGAGAGCAAGGTCTCTGATCAAGAGATTGTCGGTTGAGGAAGGTCTCTGATCAAGAGATTGTTGGTTGAGGAGGTCTCTGATCAAGAGAGCAAGGTCTCTTGATCAAGAGATTGTCGGTTTCGAGCAAGGTCCTTGATCAAGAGATTGTCGATCAAGGTCTCTGATCAATAGGTTGTTGGTTTCTGAGGAGCTGTTGTTGAGCAAGGTCTCTGATCAAGAGATTGTCGGTTTCGAGGAGCTGTTGTTGAGCAAGGTCTCTGATCAAAGATTGTTGGTTCTGAGGATTGTTCAAGGGATCAAGAGATTCGGTTTCGAGGAGCTGTTGTTGAGCAAGGTCTCTGTTGGTCTGAGGAGTTGTTGGAGCAAGGTTTCGAGAGAGCTGTTGTTGAGCAAGGTCTCTGATCAAGAGATTGTCGGTTTCGAGGAGCTGTTGTTGATCAAGGTCTCTGATCAAGAGATTGTCGGTTTTCTGAGGAGCTGTTGTTGAGCAAGGTCTTGATCAAGAGGTTGTTGGTTCTTGAGGAGCTGTTGTTGAGCAAGGTCTCTGATCAAGAGATTGTCGGTTTCGAGGAGTTGTTGTTGAGCAAGGTCTCTGATCAAGAGATTGTTGGTTTCGAGGAGCTGTTGTTGAGCAAGGTCTCTGATCAAGAGATTGTTGGTTTGAGGAGCTGTTGTTGAGCAAGGTCTCTGATCAAGAGATTTGTTCTTGAGGTTTGTTGAGCAAGGTCTCTGATCAAGAGATTGTCGGTTTGAGGAGCTGTTGTTGATCAAGGTCTCTGATCAAGAGATTGTCGATCTTTCAAGAAGGAGCTGTTGTTGAGCAAGGTCTCTGATCAAGAGATTGTGTTTGAGGGTGTTTCGAGGATTGTTGGTTTGAGGGCTGTTGTTGATTCTTGATCAAGAGATTGTTGTTGAGCAAGGTCTCTGATCAAGAGATTGTTGGTTTCGAGGAGCTGTTGAGCAAGGTCTCTGATCAAGAGATTGATTTCGAGGAGCTGTTGTTGAGTCTCTGATCAAAAGAGAGATTGTCGGTCTCTTCCGGTTTGAGGAGCTGTTAAGGAGATCAATAGGTTGTTGTTGAGAGCTGTTGTTGAGCAAGGTTCTGATCAAGATTGTCGGAGTGGATTGTTGGCAAGGTCCTGAGGAGCTGTTGTTGAGCAAGGTCCTGATCAAGAGATTGTCGGTTTCGAGGGAGCTGATTGTCTTGATCACAGCTGTTGGCTCGAGGCCCCTGAGGATCAAGAGATTAGTTTGGCTCTGAGGAGCTGTTGTTGAAGGTCTCTGACTGGAGATTGTCGGTTTGAGTGAGCTGTTGTTGGAGCAAGGTCTTGACTGCCAGGTTGTTGGTCAAGAGAGGTCTCACCGGGCAGATTGTCGGCCTTGAGGAGCTGTTGTTGATCAAGGTCTGATAAGATCTGTTGATCTGAGGAGCTGTTGTCGGCTCTACCTGAGGATGTTGTTGAGCAAGGTCCTTGATCAAGAGATTTGGTTTGAGGAGCTGTTGTTGAGAGCTGGCATTGTCGTGCCTCTGAGGAGCTGTTGATCAAGACTGTCAGGTTGTTGCCCTGAGCTGTCAAGCAAGATTGATTCGGTTCTTCGAGGAGCTGTTGTTGATGATCTGAAGGTTCCTGATCAAGAGATTGTCGGCTTTGAGGAGCTGTTGTTGAGCAAGGTTCGATCAAGAGATTGTCGGTTTGGAGGAAGTTGTTGAGCAAGGCCCTGATCAAGAGATTGCTTGAGTGTTGTTGATCAATACCCCTGAGGGGCTGTTGCTCCTGGAGGAGCAAGGTCCCTTGATCAAGAGATTGTCGGTTTCGAGGAGCCGTTTGAGCAAAGGTCCCGATCATTAGGTTGATTGAGGAGCTGTTGTTGGAGGAGCAAGAGATTGCTTGAGGAGCTTGTTGTTGATCGTCTCTTGATCAAAGGTTCTCTGAGGACTAAGAGAGATTGTCGTCAAGGTCTCTCAATAGCTGCTGTTTGAGCAAGATCTCTGATCGAAGAGGATTGTTGGCTCGAGGAGCTTGTTTTTGCGTCTCTGAGCAAGGTCCTGATCAAGAGATTGCTGCACCGATCAAGAGATTGTTTGCCTGAGGAGCTGTTGCTTGGATCAAGGTCTCTGATCAAGAGTTGTTGGTTTCGAGGGCGTTGTTGAGCAAGGTCTCTGATCAAGAGATTGCCGGCCTTTTGGAGCCGTTGTTGAGCAAGGCTCTGATCAGAGATTGATCTGAGGAGATTGTTGGTCTCTGAGGATTGTTGGTTTTGTTGAGCAAGATCTCTGATCAAGAGATTGTTGGTTTCGAGGAGCTGTTGTTGAGCAAGGTCTCTGATCAAGAGATTGTCGGTTTCGAGGAGCTGTTGTTGAGCAAGGTCTCTGATCAAGAGATTGTCGGTTTGAGGAGCTGTTGTTGATCACAATTTCGAAAGACGACTCGGAGGAGCTGTTGTTGAGCAAGGATTGATCGGTTTCGGTTTGAGGAGTTGTTGTTGATCAAAGGTCTCTGATCAATGGGTTGTCGGTTTCGAGGAGCTGTTGTTGAGCAAGATCTCTGATCAGAGATTGTCGGTTTGGAGGAGCTGTTGTTGAGCAAGCAAAGATTGTTTGTCTCTGAGCAAGGTCTCTGATCAATGGATTTGTTGGTTTCTGAGGAGTTGTTGTTGAGCAATGTCTCTTGATCAAGAGATTGTTGTTGAGGAGCTTGTTGAGCAAGGTCTTGATCAGTCAGGAGCTGTTGTTGAGCAAGGTCTTGTCAATGGTTTGAGGAGCTGTTGTTGATCAAGGTCTCTCTGATCGAGGAATGGTTCATCAAGAGATTCCGGAGGAGCTGTTGTTGAGCAAGTTCTCTGATCAAGAGATTGTCGGTTTCGAGGGCTGTTGTTGAGCAAGGTCTCTGATCAAGAGTTGTCGGTTTCGAGGAGCTGTTGTTGAGCAAGGTCTCTGATCAAGAGATTGTCGGTTTCTGAGGAGCTGTTGTTGAGCAAGGTCTCTGATCAAGAGATTGTTGGTTTCGGAGGAGGAGCTGTTGTTGAGCAAGATCTCTGATCAAGAGATTCGTCGGTTTCGAGGAGCTGTTGTTGAGCAAGGTCTGATCAAGAGATTGTCGGTTTCGAGGAGCTGTTGTTGAGCAAGGTCTCTGATCAAGAGATTTGTCGGTTTTCGAGGATGTTGTTGTTGGAGGAGCAAAGGTCTCTGATCAAGAGATTGTTGGTTTCGAGGAGCTGTTGTTGATCAAGGTCTCTGATCAAGAGATTGTTGGTTTGAGGAGCTGTTGTTTGAGCAAGGTCTCTGATCAAGAGATTGTCGGTTCTGAGGTGGCTGTTGAGCAAGGTCTCTGATCAAGAGATTGTCGGCTCGAGGAGCTGTTGTTCAATTGGTCTCTGATCAAGGTCTGTCGGTTTCTGAGGAGCTGTTGTTGAGCAAGGATTCAAGAGATTTCGGTTTCAGGAGCTGTTGTTGAGCAAGGTCTCTGATCAATGCAAGATTGTCGGTTTCGAGGGCTGTTGTTGAGCAAGGTCTCTGATCAAAGATTGTTGTCGGTTTTGGGGGATTGATCAGGAGGTCTCTGTCGGTTGGTTTCGAGGAGCTGTTGTTGAGCAAGGTCTCTGATCAAGAGATTTGTCGGTTTGTTGAGGCTGTTGTTGATCAAGGTCTCTGATCAGATGAGGTTGTTGGTTTTCGAGGAGCTGTTGTTGAGCAAGGTCTCTGATCAAGAGATTGTCGGTTTCTGAGGCTGTTGTTAAGAGATCAAAGGTCTCTGATCAATTGGTTTCGAGGGCTGTTGTTGAGCAAGGGTTTCGGTTTCGAGTGAGCTGTTGTTGAGCAAGGTCTCTGATCAAGAGATTGTTGGTTTCTGATCAAGGGAGTTTGTTGGTTTGAGGAGCAAGGTCTCTGATCAATAGGGGTTGTTGGTTTCGAGGCTGTTGTTGAGCAAGGTCTCTGATGAGGGGCTGCCAAGGATCAAGATTGATCAATAGGTTGTTGGTTTCGAGGAGCTGTTGTTGAGCAAGGTCTCTGATCAAGCCTTGGGGTTGTTGGTTTCGATCAAGGATTGTCGGCTGTTGTTGAGCAAGGTCTCTGATCAAGAGATGGTTTTGAGGAGCTGTTTTGAGGAGCTGTTTTGGTTTGAGCTGATGTTGGAGCAAGGTCTCTGATCAAAGATTGTCGGTTTCGAGGAGCTGTTGTTGAGCAAGGTCTCTGATCAAGAGATTGTTAGTTCTTCGAGGAGCTGTTGTTGATCAAGGTCTCTGATCAATGGGTTGTTGGTTTGAGGAGCTGTTGTTGAGCAAGGTCTCTGATCAAGAGATTGTCGGTTTCGAGGAGCTGTTGTTGAGCAAGGTCTCTGATCAAGAGATTGTCGGTTTTGAGGAGCTGTTGTTGAGCAAGGTTGATTGTCGGCTGAGTTCTCTGATCAAAGAGATTGTTGGTTTGGAGGAGCTGTTGTTGAGCAAGGTCTCTGATCAAGAGATTGTCGGGTTTTGAGGAGATCAAGGTTGTTGGTTTCGAGGAGCTGTTGTTGAGCAAGGTCTCTGATCAAGAGATTGTTGGTTTCGAGGAGCTGTTGTTGAGCAAGGTCTCTGATCATTGTCGGTTTGAGGATTGTTGGTTTGATGAGGAGATTGTTGTTTGAGCAAGGTCTCTGATCAAGAGATTGTCGGTTTCGAGGAGCTGTTGTTGAGCAAGGTCTCTGATCAAGAGATTGTCGGTTCGAGGAGCTGTTGTTGAGCAAGGTCTCTGATCAAGAGATTGTCGGTTTTCGAGGAGGTTTTCAAGGTCTCTGAGAGGAGCTGTTGTTGAGCAAGGTCTCGATCTCTGATCAAGCAAGATTGATCAAGGATTGTCGGTGAGGAGCTGTTGTTGAGCAAGGTCTCTGATCAAGAGATTGTCGGTTTCGAGGAGTCTGATCTGTTGTTTCGAGCTGTTGTTGAGGTCTCTGATCAAGAGATTGTCGGTTTCGAGGAGCAGGTCTTTTGAGCAAGATTGTCGGTTTCTGTTGTTGATCAAGGAGATTGTCGGTTTCGAGGAGTTGTTGTTGAGCAAAGTCTCTGATCAAGAGTTGTTGGTCTTCGAGGAGCAGTTTGCTGTTGATCAAGGTCTCTGATCAAGAGATTGTTGGTTTCGAGGGCTGTTGTTGAGCAAGGTCTCTGATCAAGAGTCGGTTTGTCGGTTCTGATCAAGAGCTGTTGTTGAGCAAGGTCTCTGATCAAGAGATTGTCGGTTTTTTCGAGAGCTGTTGTTGAGCAAGGTCTCTGATCAAGAGATTGTCGGTTTCGAGGAGCTGTTGTTGAGCAAGGTCTCTGATCAATAGGATTGGTTTCGGCTGTTGAGACAAGGTCTCTGATCAAAGAGATTGTCGGTTTTCGAGGCTGTTGTTAAGGTCTCTGATCAAAGGTTGTCGGTTTCGAGGGAGCTGTTGTTGAACAAGGTCTCTGATCAAAGATTGTCGGTTTCGAGGAGCTGTTGTTGAGCAAGCTCTCTGATCAATGGGTTGTTGGTTTCGAGGAGCTGTTGTTGAGCAAGGTCTCTGATCAAAGAGATTTATCGGTTTCGAGGAGCTGTTGTTGATCAAGGTCTCTCTGATCAATAGGTTGTCGGTTTCGAGGAGCTGTTGTTGAGCAAAGGTCTCTGATCAAAGATTGTCGGTTTCGAGCTGTTGTTGAGCAGGGTCTCTGATCAAAGGTTATTCGGTTTCGAGCTGTTGTTGAGCAAGGTCTCTGATATTGTCAAGACTGTTGTTGATCGGTTTCGTTGGTTGTTGTTGTTGAGCAAAGGTCTCTCTGATCAAAGAGATTGTCGGTTTGTTGGTTTCAAAGGCTGTTGTTGTTGAGCAAGGTCTCTGATCAGAGATTGTCAGTTTCGAGGAGCTGTTGTTGTCAAAGTTTCGGTTTCGAGGCTGTTGTTGAGCAAGGTCTCTGATCAAGAGATTGTCGGTTTCGAGGAGAGCTGTTGTGGAGCAAGGTCTCTGATCAAAGAGATTGTTGGTTTGAGGAGCTGTTGTTGATCAAGGGTCTCTGATCAAGAGGATTGTTGGTTTCGAGGGCTGTTGTTGAGCAAGGTCTCTGATCAAGAGATTGTTGGTTTCGAGGAGCTGTTGTTGAGCAAGGTCTCTGATCAAGAGATTGTTTGTTTTTCCGAGGGAGCTGTTGTTGATCAAGGCTGGATTAAAGGTCTCTGAGGATCAAGAGATTGTCGGTTTCGAGGAGCTGTTGTTGATCAAGATTGTCGGCTCTGAGGAGCTCTGATCAAGGTTTGTTGGTTTGAGGGCTGTTGTTGGTTTCTGATCAAGAGATTGTCGGTTTCGAGGAGCTGTTGTTGAGCAAGGTCTCTGATCAAGAGATTGTCGGTTTCTGAGGAGCTGTTGTTGAGCAAGGGTCTCTGATCAAAGATTGTTGGTTTCGAGGAGCTGTTTGAGCAAGAGTCTCTGATCAAGAGATTGCTTTTGGAGCTGTTGTTGAGCAAGGTCTCTGATCAAGAGATTGTCGGTTTCGAGCTGTTGTTGGCAAGGTCTCTGATCAAGAGATTGTCGGTTTTGAGGAGCTGTTGTTGAGCAAGGTCTCTGATCAAGAGGGAGATTGTCGGTTCTGAGGAGCTGTTTGTTGAGCAAGGTCTTGATCAAAGATTGTCGGTTTCGAGGAGCTGTTGTTGAGCAAGGTCTCTGATCAAGAGATTGTCGGTTGAGGAGTTGTTATTGAGCAAGGTCTCTTGATCAAGAGATTGTTGGTTTCTGAGGAGCTGTTGTTGAGCAAGGTCTCTGATCAAGAGATTGTCGGTTCTGAGGAGCTGTTGTTGAGCAAGGTCTCTGATCAAGAGATTGTCTGAGGTTTTGAGGAGGCTGTTGTTGGAGCAAGGTCC